GTTTCGGCAGACAGTTCTTTTTCCATTGTCTTTTGTGAAACAATTTTGCCCAATAAACCTCACCTGCAATCTGTACATTTTAAATTTTTTCCAGTGATGAGGATTAATACATGGGATCTCATATATGCTATGCAAATGCTGTGCCACTGAGACCTAGCAGCAGTCCTCTGATACTTTTGATTGTCCTATCCTACTTTAGCTAAACTTTTCTACAAGTGGGAGTTGTCTGGGCAGTGATAGGTTTGGGTGCTGTGATTTTCTTCATGGAGATTATCCTTTTGAATATTAGTGGAAACTGCGCTAGTAAGTTTTTGGAAGTAGTGTGTTTTGACCAGGACTCTAGGGAACATCAGATCCAGGAGACCTTCAGTAGAGCCAGTTCAGCTCCTGACTTTGGCTCTCAGGTCTGGTTTCTGGGAACTCTTCCAGGGATTCTCTTTCCTCTTGGCATTTGCTTTTTGTTGAAAGACGTCAGAGGAACTTTACTTTTTTAACAAATCGACTCAAACAGGAAAGAGGGAGATCTGGAATTTTCCTTCACTCTCATGTGGCCTGGGTTGTGACTCAGCAGCCAGCCGTGTAGCAGGGTCTAAGGGCTCAAACATCTGACCATCTTCATACTTAGATCATGAGTTTTAACACTGCCTGAAAATGCCATTCATCAGCCTTTCTTTGCTGACAGGCATCTTCTGATACCCACAGTTTTAATTGATTTAAGCCATTTCTGTAGTAATGAGGAGAGGGATGCATCCTGCTGCCCAGCTAGCTTACACCTGAAATAATCATATGGAAATTGTATTAATCAACAACACTGCCCAGCCCATTAACTCTAGCCTCTTATGGGCTAACTCTCACATCTTGATGAACCCATTTCCATTAATGTGTATCACCACTTGACTGTGGCTTCCTGGCATGAGTCTAACCAGCGTCTGTCTTGGGCAGGAGAATCATGGCATTTGCCACACTTCCCTTCTTCCCAGCATCCTGTTCTGTCTATTAGGCCTACCTAAGGGCTGCCCTATCAAAAGGCCAAGGCAATCTCTGTATTTAATCAATGAAAGCAACAAAAATACAGAAGGACCTCCTACCCCACATTTCTTTCTCTCACTCGCCTTTTATGTTTTATGACAGGTTTTCATGTATCCCAGGTAGGCTTTGTACCCCAACTACTATGTAGCCAAGGATGACACACTGCTTTTGATTCTCCTGTCTCTTCCTTCTGAGTGCTGGGATTACAAGTGTGCACCACCATGCCCGGTTTATAGATTAGTGGGTTCCAAACAGGGGTGTTTATGCATGGCTGGCAAGCATCCCAACAACTCAGTTACCTCTCCAGCCCTTATTTCATTCTCACATTCTAAAAATACCTGTTATCACAAATCTTACATTTTTTACTCCCCAAATTATTTGCCCACAGGCAGAAAAAGAAAAATATACTTCCCTATAGGACAGTGGATCACGACCTTTTGGGGAGCGTTGAATGACCCTTTCACAGGGGTTGCATATCCTGCATATCAGATGTTTACATTATGACTCATAATTACATTATGAAGTATCAATGAAAATAATTTTAGGGTTGGGGGTCACCACAACATGAGGAATTGTACTAAAGCATCTCAGCATTAGGAAGGCTGAGAACCACTGCTCTAGGAGGATTCAACCTTTTGATAAAATATTTGTAATCTACATAAAAATGTAAGAGTGAGATTAATCAGTGTTTATTAGTCAAAGGATGTTTTCACTAGCAGATAATTTTATCTCACTGGAAGAACACTGATTTATGGACTTTATCATTTATATTGTGAAAGCTTTATCGTTAAAGGACCAAGCATGAATATTTAAAGCTTCCTGTTTGGGATTATAAATGTTTAGAGAGTTAATGTAAGCTGGTAGTATAAAAATGCGCATGGGAGCTTAAACGATTCTGAATAATACTACCCATTTGAAAGCTCCAGGAAGGCTTCCTTTCATCAATGGGGCAGGAACAAGGCTGTAATTAACTTGGAGCAAATGGACTCATACAGGATCCTGTTCATGGTCAGGGTTATTTGGCTTCCTCTGTTAGACTGTCAGGCATGTCTGGAACGGAACTGGCTCTTGAGACAGACTGGAGAATCACCTCTCAACTCTCTGACCATGGCCTCTGCTCATTAGCCTTGCTGAACCTTAGTTGTTTCTTCATCTGTAACGTGAGAGTTTGGAAAGCACCTATCACTTGGAAGAGTGAGAACTGAATGAAATCGTGCACGGAAGCTTAGCCCCTGCCCAACACAGGTTAGATAGGTCAAGTAATTCACATATTATGGGAAACTAAGCCTTCTAAACTATGTCCCTGGGTGAAACAGCAAATGAACACTTTTTTTGGGCAGAAGTGTTCTTTTCTTGGCTCTTTGGGAGTGGCCTTTATCTTTGTCACTAAAAAAAAAAGGCTTTGTTTGGGAATATACTTACTCATATCTTCAATTTGTCCCTAATAAATGGAAGATGGGAGTCATTTAGCCCCCTTCCTCACTGTTGAGTCTGTCTTTCTAGCCTTCTGGAATCCAGACTGCCTATGTGCCCCTCTCTGAGACTCTTGGACAGTTCCCTCTAATCTCTCCTTACTTAGGCACAAGTGAGTGCTCACACCTACCTTCATGCTCTTGCATGTGTCTTGCTCGTGGTCTGCAATGTGGTGTGTTCCCTGCATCAGGAATGTTACCGTAACCATCGCATACCTCCCGCGTGCTCAGGACAAAATCCCTCACTTCTCTGTCACAGTAGCCGAGGGAAGTAGACACTCTAGGTTGAGAGCTAGCAAGCCCAAGAACAAGGAAGGGAGGAAAACAGCGGTCTTTTTAGCTCACCTGTAAGAGCTAGGCAAGCTTGGCTGGAATTCACATACATAATGGTACCACCTAGAGAGAGGTGAGAAAGGCTGCCTCAGTGAAGGGATTCAACTCCCCTACGACAACGTGCCTTTCAGACGAGGCGTTGACAATGATCTTGAAGCACTGCTTGAAAGAGGGAAGGGGGCAGGAGCTTGGCCATAATACTTTACAGTGTTCAATCCCTGGACAAGCAAAGTCTGTGACTGTGACAAATTTTGTGACTGTCATGCCCAGCACGTGTAAGTGCAGAGTCAATGGTTGCCAAGGCATGTGGCAGAGGGTGTCCACGGAACCTAAGGAAATAGTAGATAATAATAAGCATCTCACTTCTGGCCTTTGGATTGGGTGATATTGAGGCAGCTGAGAGATCCCAGGTTTGGGTGGCTTTTAGTGGAAATCTTCGTGTATTGCTTGATGGAGGGTTAAATTTAGAGAAATCGGTTGCTAGGCAATTTTATCACCATACAAACATCTTGATGTATACCCACAAACCTAGAAGGAATACCCTGCCATATGCTCAAACCATGTGGACAGTCTATTGCTCCAGGCTATGGATCTGCACAGCACACTCATTTAAAAAATAACTGAACATCGCTAAACAGAGAGCGTTCAGAGTAAAAGTGTGTTACAAAAGATGAAAAACTGGTATACTTGTCCAGGACTTTTCCCATCAAGGGAGCTTGCAGGGCTGGGCATTGCTTTGGGTGGTTTCCGAGGGTGAGTATGCACTGACCATAATGGCCTAGGACATGGCTGTGGTGTTACTGCAGCATTATAAACAGCTGCACGGAGGCAACATTAGGTTGGGTTTCTTTCTTCCATAATAAACCTAGTTTTATGTAACTTTTTTTTATTTTATAGCAATGCTTAGCTTAAAATGCAAAGACAAGCCAGGCAGTGGTGGTGCACACCTTTAATCCCAGCACTTGGGAGGCAGAGGCTGGTGGCTCTCTGTAAATTCTGGTCTACAGAGTGAGTGCCAGGATGGGTTCCACAGCTACACAGAGAAACTCTGTGTCCAAAACAAAACAAAATAAAAGCAAAATGCAAAGATAAAACTGTCTTTTTTTTTTTTTTTTAAGAAAAAGGTTCCGTTTTTAACCATGTGTATGGGAATGTCTGTGTGTGCATTCGTGCATGTGCCAAGATGCCGGAAGAGGGTGTTGGATCTCTGCGAACTGGAGCTCCCACCTGACATGGATGCTGGAAACTGAACTTGCGTCCTCTGTAAGAGTAACAGGTGGCCTTAACTACTGAGCCATCTCTCCAACCCCTTCTTTCGGTGTGTTGGCATCCCTGTACTTTTCTGGTAAATTTTTTATCTTGAAAGCTGAGGATCTCGCTCTGTTGGCAGAGCACTTGCCCTTGCTTAGCTTGTAAAGGCGATGGGTTCAATACCCAGCACCAGAAAGAAAACTATTTTAACCTGGGCCTGATGGTGCAGACCTGTAATCTGAGCTATTCAGACGAGGCAGGAGGGTCGCAAATTCAAGGCTGGCCTTTGCTCCTTTGTTAATGGTCAAGTGAATATGCTTATGTGTGTTTTTCCTGGGCTCTTTACTGTGATACAGTGACTAACTTTTCTACTCTTTAACCAAGAATCCATCATCTCAATTGTGGTAGTTTTATTGTAAGACTCGACCTTGGACAGGGTCCATTTCTCACACTGTTCTTTGGGATGGCGTCAGCTTTTGGGGGGGACTTTTGACTCTTCATAGGTACCACATAACCATTAACTAACATATGCTCTTTTGCTGCAGTTTTTATTTAATGTCACTAATATATAAAATTGATAGTAGCTGGTAAGTTCACAGCATTCAGTCTTGCTATCCATGAACTAGAACGTTTTTGCCTTTAGTTCTTTGACTTCATTCATTAGATTCCTGTAGTTTTCTTAATAAAGATTGAGTGAGTGTTTTACTTGTTCCTTAGTAGTTTTGAGGATGTTAATTAAAATATTATGTTTTAATTTTGATTTTTGTGGATAATTGCTGAAACTTAAAGATTTGATTGGCCTCTGCGTTGACCTTGTATCCTGTAACTATTTGAAATCTGTTTACCAGTTTCAAGAGCCTTTTGGGCTTTCTTTTGGTTCCTATACCAACAGTTGGGAAATCTTGAAGAAAGACAATTTGACTTCATTCTTCCCCAAAAAGTACATCACTGTACTTTTTATTGTTTATTTGAAACAGGTCTTTTATATAAGTTCCTCAAGTTAACTGGTTGTACAACTGGACTCTTGGACAGGGTCTCTCTTTGTAGCTTAGGCTGGCCTGGAACTCACTATATATCTCAATCTGCTCTCAAATTTATGATCCTTCTCCTTCAACTTTCCAAATTCTGGGATTACAAATGTGCATCTGTATTTTACTTTGTTTTGTTTTATTGTATTAACTATGATTTCAGCAATGATATTGAAAAGGAGTCCAGTGAGAAGGAACATCCTTACCTTGTTCCTTACTTTAGTGGGAATGATACTTGGATCTTGAGATTAATATTAGCTAAGCCAGTTGTGGAATACTTAGGAAGTCTGAGGTCAACCTTAGGCCAACCTGAGCTACACCATGACTTCAAGATCAGCCTGAGCTATGTAGAGAAACTCTCAAAATACATGAAACTCCATCCATACATCAAAATCTTCCTCTGTAAAAATTATTTTTTGAGATAGGGTTCCTTTGTGTAGCCCTGGTTGTCCTGGAACTCACTTTGTAAACCAGGCTGGCCTTGAACTCACAGAGATCTGCCTGTCTCTGCCTCCCAAGTGCTGGGATTAAAGACATGAGCCACCACCGCCCGGTGATTTTTTTTTAAAATAGAATATAGAGGGGGAACTATTTGGAAAGAAGAAGGGAATCAGCTGGAGTTAGAGGAGAGAATGGGGTAGTAGGAGGTGAATATAGACAAAATACATTATGAAAAATGTCCTAATGAAACCCATTCTTGGGATAATTAGTATATTTCTAATAAAACAATTTAGAAAGATCTTTGCATGACATTTCATTTTATCCTAAATATGAGCACCATTTGCTAATTTATAGACACTTGGCGACCTTACAAGGTAAAGGCATTGAATTATGGTCTCTGAACTTGAACCTGGGAATGTAAACGTGATATTTTTCAGCTTGGACAGCTGGTTGCTAAGAAGTAGCATGGGTTTGAAAAGGTTGCAATTATTCTAAAAGCCCACAAGGTTGGGGCATTTCTCAATGAAAAGGTTCTTGACGTTCACCGTGGGAAGTTGGCTTTTCCAACCTCCAGCTGGGCTCTCCCTATTTTCATTTCATTGTCTCCCAAGCAGCCTACACTGAGCCAACACCCAGCTTCCCCCACCGTTTGTATTTATTTGCCCTTTGTTTTTGGTCGGTTTTCTGCAGGATGCTCTGCAAGTTCACTCTCCCTTCTCCATCCACTCATACTTCAGCCCACTGGTTCTTCGAACATCATTGCTCTGTTAAGGCCTCTCCAGCATGAGCCTCATTGACCCCCGTATTCCTCGTGTACTATTATTTTACACTGGCAGTCACAGCCCTTTGCTTCCTAAACACATTATTGTTTAATGCAGGACTCTGACACAGCCTTAGGTTTCTTATTTCCTAATGGATGTCTGTGCTGTGCTGTGTATGTGTGTTTGTGTGTGTGTGCAGAGCTGGTGAACAGTGTGGGATACCATGGCCACAAAGTCAAACATGACTTTGAGTTTATTAAAAGTGAACTTGCCATGCTAGGGATGTAGTTCAGTTGGTAGAGTGCTTGCTTAGTAATCATACTTAGTAAGCCTGAAGTCCTGGGTTTGATTCCCCAATGCTACAAAACCTGATTATGAAGATACATATCTGTAATCAAAGTATTCAGGAGGTGGAGACAAGAGGATACAAAGTTTAAGACCATCCTCTTTATACATCAAGGTTAAGTCCATCCTGGGATACACTGGATTCTATCTCAAGAAGGAAAAAGAATTGAAAAATAAAAATTTAAATGTGGGAGCTGTTATGAGTGAATCAAATCTAATCAGGTGAACCCTTAAAGGGAATCAAAGGGATTTTCCTGCTGGCCATAAAGGAGGAAACAGCATGCTCTAGAGAGGACTCAGTTTAGGAGGACAGACAGACCCCAGAAGCTGCCAGCAAGAAGGAAAGATTCCTGTGTGAAAAGGGGAATCTCATGTCTACGATAAGATGGTTACCATGGTCATCACTATGGTTCTATCTCAAGACTCAATAAGCTGCTTGGTCATATGGTCCAAGAAACTTCAGTGGTGTAGTTCTAAGCTGCTAGGTAGCAGTATTTGTTACTCAGTAAAATAAATGTATCTAGTAGTCTCTATTAATATAGAAGGCTGTTCTAACTCTTGGATGGCCCAATGGGTCCCTGGTTCTTAGTTCTAGAGGTTGGCTACACCTGTAGACAGTGAATGCTAGTTCCACAGGGAGCTTGCTTCCAATGGAAAATGTCTTAGTTAAGGTTTTTATTGCTGGGATGAAATACCATGACCAAAGCAAGCCAGGGAGGAAAGGGTTTATTTAACTTAAACTTCCATATCACTGTTCATCATTGAAGGAAGTCAGGACAGGAACTCAAGCAGAGCAGAACCTGGAGGCAGGAGCTGATGCAGAGGTCATGGAGGAGTGCTGCTCACTGGCTTGCTCAGCATGGCTTGCTCAACCTGCTTTTTTATAGAACCCAGGACCACCAGTCCAGAGATGGCACCACTCACAATGGGCTGGGCCTTTTCCATTAATCATTAATTAAGAAAATATCCTACAGCTGGATGTCAAGGAGGCATTTTTCTCAAATGAGGTTCCCTCTTTTTAGATAACTCTAGCTTGTGTCAAGTTGACATAAAGCTATCAAGCACAGAAAACCAAGCTTGGAAATCTTTTTGAGCATTCTAACTACAAGTTGACTTTGTATTTCCACCAAGAAGTACCGTTTTGTTTTGTTTGGCTTCAATTTGCACTAGTGGTAAAACTAAACTGCAAAACTGAATGTTTTTCTGGGATGATCTCACAGTACTTTATCATTTGCATACAAACTAGTGGTCAATGGAAATGGTGACCTTGAAATAGAGTGCATATAGAATCTGTAATCATTTGCAAAAATATGCCACTCTTTGATCAAAATTCCATTAGACAATTCCAAGTTATGTCCAGCAGACATTTTAATATAGGCTTAAACATATCTAAGAATGGATCTGTGAGATGGTTTAGTAGGGCAAAAATCTCAAGACAACCTGTGGACCCAAATTCCATCCTAAGAACCCATGTGGGAAAAGGAGAGTGCTGAATCCTGAAAGTTCCCATGTCACATGTATTCACACACATACAAAAGTACACACACTAAATACGTAAATGCATGCATATTTATAATATATATAGATAAAATTGAGAGGGGGAGAAGGAGTGAGAGAGACAGAATGTGTGTGTATGTGTGTGTGTGTGTGTGTGTGTGAGAGAGAGAGAGAGAGAGAGAGAGAGAGAGAGAGAGAGAGAGAGAGAGAGAGATCTGAGGCCTCTTCAGATAAATAGCAATACTGCAATACTTCGTCCTGCTCTGGCATCTTATAGAGAAGCCAAGGCTGGCCTGGAGTCTTTGACCTTTCTCGGGGTTGGGGTGGGGACAGTATCTCATGGCTGCTCTCTTTTGTGATGTTCCCATCCCTTTCACAGGTACCACATACTCAAGCCACACTCTTTTGTCCTATACTTAATGAAAAATTACCTCCACCCAGCCATGGGACCCAGACAGAAAACATAGCAACCATCTTGGATGGCCCACATTCCCAGTCTCTTTATCCAGTCACCAAATGAATCATCTCTAGTTTCCCTTTTAACTATTTCTCATATCCACAAGCCAGCACACTGCATGATTAAGTTCAACAATGTTCACAGTCTATGCTTTCCATATGAGGGCAGAATACTGATCAGCTTTAAGAAGGAAGTTCTGATCCATGTTACAGGGTGAGTGAACCCTGAGGACACAGAATGCCAAATAAAAGCACTAAAGCCTAGTCACTAGAACACCAAGGATTACTACACAATGCTAAATCACATGTGCGTGCACACACAAACACGATTCCAGTTATATGAGTTACTTGGAATAGTCAAAACAACCCAGACAAAGTAGAATGATGGTTTCTAGGGTTTGGGGGAAGAGAAAATAGAGTTATTATTCAATGGAACAGAGTTTTACTCCTACAAGGTAAAGAGAGAGTTTGGAGGCTTGTTGGTAGGGATAGCTGTACTGTATGAATATGTTCAGGTCACTGAACTATGAATTTTATGTCATGGGATTTATCACAATAAAATAATGGAAACTTTTTTTAAACCCCTGTTGTTAGTGCCATGGGCAGCCTCCATGACACCTGTAGGGACTCCCAAAGCAATGACTGCAGAACATAGCTAAAGTGAAGAAGAGTATGGGAGAGAGGCAAGCTTTCACCCTGTAATGTGGGAGGAGAGGGTCTCATCAGTGTGACGCCTTATTGTATTTAATCTGTGGTCTGGGTTCATTTTTATCCAATAGTTAAAATGTCACGTGATTAAACGTATTCATGGTTAGCAGACCAGAGCATCTGTAGACGCCAGCCTCCTCCTCAGACTCTTCAGTCTAGCTGAGGAGAGAGTTCCTCTTGCAGGCCATTTTCTCAAGAGGTAAAAACCTGTTGAGGTGTTTCTGCAACCACCCTGGAGACACCTGGTGGAGATTCCTGTCTCCTGGTCTCTTCCTCAAGAGGGGCAGTGTCTTTCTGCAGGGCTGGGGTCTTGTTTGAAGAAAGCACTTCAGGGAGCAGATCCTAAAATGAAAGCACAAAGGAAAGAAGGTAGAGATTAAACATGGGAATTGAAAGAGCACACAACTGCTGTTTTTATGCTGGGCACCAGCAGAGAAGAAAGCTGAAATCAACCTACTGCAAAGAACCGTGAGATCAAACCTGCTGGGATCAAAGTGGTCCCTAGGGACTCAGCAGCCTGCAGGGATAAAACCTCATACAGTGCACTCTAGAATCTCAGCAAAACATCAACCACAATGTTCTGCACACACACAGAAATTACTAGATAAATGAAGAAGTAGAAGAACATGAGCCATTAACTTCAGAATGTCAAAGATGATGGGAATAGCAGACAGGGACTTAAAAAGTCATTTAATATTTTCAAAATTGTATGGGAGAAACACAGATATATTAAGTAAAAATTAAAGTAGGTAGTCAAGAAAATGAAAACAGAGGAACTCTGCAGTTGAAAGGTATATCTGCACTAAAAAAATCATAAAGGGGTTGGGTCATAGAGATGACTCAAGCAATAGACAGCTTGCTGCGCAAGCAGGAAGACCTGTTTGGTTCCCCAAAATGAAGTAAATAACAACAAACAAAACAAAACAAAAAGGCATGATGGTGTGTGCTTGTATTCCCAGTGCTAGGGAAGCCAGTGCAGGCAGATCCCTGGGGCTTACTAGCCTGTCAACCTAGCCTCAAAAAACAATATGGAGGCTAGATGGATGACTTAGTAGTTAGAATTTGCTGCTCTTTCAGGGGACATAGTTTAGGTTCCCAGTGCCTACATGGATGCTCACGACTATCTGTAACTCTAATGTCAGGGGATCCAACACCCTCTTCTGGCCTTCATGTGTCCTGTATGCACATGGAACACATAAACACATTTATACAAACATTTGTACTCATAAAATAAATATAAATAAACCTTAAAAACAAAAACAAAAGACAAGGTGGATGAACTCTGACTTCCATATGAATACACACAATCATAGCCACGTACACAAAAGATAGAGAAAATAATAATGAAAATGCCTAAATAGGGTGCTGGCCATGCAGAAGAAAGGTTTAAACATGACAGCCGAGCAACAGAAATGATCCAATTTGAAGCTGAGGAAAAAAAGCTTCTAAGAATAAGTGACTTAATTATTTAATGCTCAACTCTAAAAGGGACACCTAAATCACCTCGTCCAAGGCAGCAGAGCGAGGAGAAAGAACGTAAGATCAGAAAGAAGGTGTGGAACATTGCAGAACACTGTCTTCTGGGCATAGTGTTCCCAGAACAAAATGATGATAGGGTGGAAGAGATGGCTTGGTGGGTAAGGCACCAGTTCCAAGAGCAAGCTAACTGGGTAGACTGGCCATATCAGCAAGCTCTCGGTTCAACTGAGCATTCCTGCCTTGATGAATAAGGTGGAGAGCGCAGCCTCAGGTTTCCACACTCGTGTGTACACATGTGCAGGTGTAAACACATACCACACACAAACATGTCCCACATACACATGAACACACACAAATCCAACACACGTAAAACCCAAAAGAAACCCAAGTCCCTGTGATGTATGGGGTAATGCCTAAAAGTCTAACAACTTAGTTGCTGCAGTCCATGGCTGAGGTAAGAACCCTTGGAACTGACACTTGATGGGCTAATTCTACCCAGTCTTTGCATGGACACTCTAGAAGTCCATTCAACAGTGTGGACTGTTGAGAACATTAATTTAAGATGTGTTACATTCGTTCATGCTGTGGAATATTTGTTTAGTGATGCAAAGATGTGTTATAGTTCTCTGATTAAAGAAAATTAACCCAGGGTCAGGAGGCTGTCAGCAACTAGCTGACAGGAAATGGCAGTGAGGAACCATGTATAGCTAGGGTTCTTAAGTGGGGCGGAACAGAAGGATGCCTCTACACCTCTTTGCTTCCTCTTTTCAAATTTGAGTGGGACATTAACCTACTTCTACAAGCAACATCCTCTCTGAGAAACTCAAAGACTCAGATCCATGCACAGAGAGTTTTAAGAGAGGCAGTTGGAATGGCATCTCATGCCTTATACGTGAGCACTAGGAAAGTTGAGGCTGGAGGATTGCTATGAGTTTAGGGTCATCCTGGGCTACCTTGAGAGTTCCAGGCCAACCAGGGCCGAACGTTAGGACCTTGTTTCAAAAATTTCAAAACCACAACAAACACCTCCCAAACTCAGAAAAACAATGCAAACTAAGCAAAAACAAACCAAAAGATAAGAAGGAAAAATGAAAGTACATGCAAGGCATCAAGTAAATCCCAGGCCAGATGAGCTAGTGACAAACTTATCTTAGGCCTGTCTGAAGCCAAGTTCCCCATACCAGTGGCACAAGATGATCTGAAATCCCCACTAAATCATCCAGGAGCCAGAACTTGCAATTTGTCATATTTGCTGCCTCTCCAGCTCCTTGCCTCATCTTCTCAAATTTGAGTTGGACATTAACCCACTCCTGAGTCAGGAGACCAGGTGAGTGATCCATTCAGCATGGTTCAGTCTCAGGTTGTCCTCATCCCTTCTAACAAAGGGAATCACTGTCCATGGCTACAGCTTGCCCACAAACAGTTTCCAAAGGAAGGGTTTGCACAGTCCAGGCATCACTGGCTCTCCTTTCCCACTTTCCTTACAAGGGCCGCCTCTCACACTTGCAAAAACAATGGTACACTTTTTGTCTATCTAATCTTAGCTACAGAATACAGAAACCTAAGTGAACACAAAGGACCAATTCACAATATTAGTGTAAAGGAAGTGTTCTATACAATAACACGAATATATAATATAATATATTATAATGAAGCATAAAACACTGTGGTGCGGGGAGTCATGCCTTACCTTCTGTATTTCTTTTTATTCACAAAACAGTGTCGGGAAGTGATTAACATGGGCAGCAGCAAGTAGTGAGGACTTTGCTTAATGTGCCTCATCTCCTCCATCTCTGTTGCTTAAAGAATGAACCCTGGAGGGCAAATTCATTTTCATGCACGTCCAACCTTTAATATTGTGAAACATGGCCAACTGCAAAGTTCAAGTCTCAGACCTACAAAGGGACTGCACGGAAATATATTGCAATATATTCAGCTGTGTTCACAGCTACTTAGGAGTGCATGGATTGGAGTCATGGGATTGTCAAAATGTACTATCAAAATAACTTCCTGATGAGTGTGGTTGCTTGTGATTGTAATTCTTAGCACTTGGGAGGCTAAGGCAAGAAGACTGAAGTAAGTTCCTGGGCACATAGTGAATCTCTCTTCTCTATTCTCTCTCTTTCTCTCTCTCCCTCTCTCTCTTCCTCTCCCTCTCTCTCTTCATTCTAAGGGATTGAACCCAACATTTGTACACACTAGCTGACTCTCTGATGATGTGGGATGCCCTTTTTCATATGTGTTGCTTTTATTGGTTGATGAATAAAGCTGATTTGGCCAGTGGCTTAGCAGAGTACAATCAAGTGGGAAATTCGAGTAT